TTAAAACCAGGAAAAGGTAGTTGAAATATATAATTTTTAATATAATAAAATGGGCGTTGTTTGATAACCTTTTAAGTAAATGCAATTTTCATTGAATATATATAATACATCGGTGAATAAAAAACCAACTAACTCAACATACATTTTCCGTCGACTTTTGCACAAGATTTGTGGAAACAAATCAAATATATTTAAAGTACAATATATCAAGCACTATCGCAGACATTTTCAAGGACATCGCTAGGATTTTTTGGGGGGGATTTTGGGCTGAAAGTTCAGCTCGTCTCTTTGGCAGCTTTGCTTATTATTTGTAAAGGGAGAAACGAGTAATGGCCACTTCCATATAGCACGTCAATTTGCATTGATCAACCCATAAACTGACACACACACACACACACTCACACATTAAAACAGCAAGAACAATAGAAACGCGTAGAAAGAGAGCGCAAATTGAAGGAACAGCGGCCATGATTTGCCGCCGGCAATTTGTGTTCCATTTCAGCCATTGAAGAGCGTCGGCCTGGCAACGGGCTGCCATGCGAAGACTTTGAGTGGCGAATGCTAAATGCTCGTCATCATCCACCAACGAATAAGTATCTTGAAGATACTTTCAGCAGCCATGGCCAGAGCAAAACACATGGCATCTTTCGGATGCACTCAGCAACCCCAAAGAGAGCACCAGTGAGAGCGAAAGCGCGCACACAACAGCTGCGCAGACCGAAGAGTATTTGAGCAGCAGAAAAGAGAGCGCACAGGTATGCTCTTATCCTGTTTTACCGTTCCAGGCGCTCTTTGCACGCCAGCCATCTCGCTCCCACGCAACAGCTGCATGGCTTCCCGCCAATTTTTGTTTGGTGTGCCATGCTGCTCTCACTGGAAGCATATCTTTATCTCCTTCTCTCTCTCTCTCTCTCTCTCTCTCTCTCTCACTCTCTCGCGCTCTCTCTCTCTCTGTGCACTGGAAAGCGAAACAAGTTGCCGGTGCCTTGGGACAAACACAAGGAATTGCGTTTGTTTAATGAAAGAATTCGAATTCAAATTCAAATTTTTTAATTTGCATTTGTTTTTCTCAAATATTTTATGTCATTGCCAAATTTGCGGATATTTTTGCAAAACAAAATTGAACGTTCCTGACTTGAATATTAAGTTCGGACTGCGGCTATTTATAGTTCAATTACATTAACATAAATTTGCTGCCGCTTCCGAAAACGGCGCGAAGTACAACTTTCGATCGTCAAAGGCAATCGGCTAACTACCTAAACAAAAACACGTAGATCTATATATGAATGTATGTAGCATAGCTTTGGCTAAGAATCAAATGTCTTTGGCTATTTGCACGTCTGACCCTTTTGGAGTTAATGACTTTTTGCCAAACACTTTAAGTGCCGAATTAACTGATCACGTGGGGCCCAATTCTTTTACAACACTGTGTGAAATATTCCGATTAAATTTTTCTTTTCCTTTTAGTATTTTTAATAGAATTTATTGCAGAAATAATTGAGCTTTAAGCTAATTAGTTTATATTGACGTTAATAGCTCAAATAATGAAGAACTTTTGAGTTAAAGAAATTATTATAAATTGTACTGTGAATATTATTTAGGAATTTGATTTAAGGTCTTTAATGTTCAAATTAAAAGCTGATGATATTGAAGAGAAAATATTAAAAATTGTAATGTTAATAATTGGCTACTTTCTTATTTTGTTTTCAGTGCGCGTAAACAATATTATTTAGCAATTAAAAATTTTTAAAAATATTTATTATTTTTAATTTTTAAAGCTTAGCTACATTTTGACTTTTTGATATTGGGAACTGGAAATTAGCATTTGAAATATAAGGATCATTAAAATAAGCCAACTTTAAATTGTAAACAAATTTAGTAGCGTATTGTATTATTTTTAGTTCGCTTACATAATAAACGTTTTGAAGTGCGACATGTACGCACTTTTATTAACTAACCAATAACTAAAAACAGCGCTTCTTAGAATAATATTCAATCGCGCGTAAGCAATTAAGTACATATTCTGTGATATAACACCACAATAAATTAGTTAAAAACTCTCTATGGATATGTGGTACAATCAGTTGAGCTAAGTCTCATGAGCCAAACTGTTGGGCAAACGAGCGAACAACCTTCGCATTCCTTCACATCGGGCCCCGGGGCTCTGCTGCGTTGTTCCTGTCAGTTGGTCGGAGCACGTATCGATTCCAATTGGAAGTCGACAGTCGCACTTTGGAACATGGAGAACAGAAAATAATTAAGTTCTCAAAAGATAAAAATCATGTTAGCCGCTGATCAATTAGTAGATTTATGCAACCCAACGCATATTTCATCTTTTGCAGCCGCTGGCAAGGCCCCGCCGCCCGCCCGTCAAGTGCCCACCCCCGCCAGACGCTGGATAGTGCATAAATTTACATATGAGCATGTCTTGAAATGATATTGAAGGCTGTTGAAATGCTGCAGTGCAACCTGCGCAGGCACCAGAGAGAACTGAGAACTGAGAACCGAGACCTGCGACCTGAAACCTTAACTGGCCGTGCACCTGCCTGCGCTGCCTGCCTGGAGCGTTAATGTTGGGCATCGGATCTTGCGTCTGGACATGCACATGCACAGACGTCAGTAACTCATTTATCGCTTAGCTGCGGCTGGAGCAGGCAGCCTCTGGGCTCGGGCTGGCGAATCTGTTGCCTTTGGGCTGTTGGTTTCGGGTTCTGTTCTTTTCCTTTCTTTTTTTTAATATTATTTTTCTTTTATTTTGACAACGAATTTGCATGCACTCGAAACTGTGTTTTGAGCCTTGTTAATTTTGACTAAAGTCCGCTGGCTAACGTGCACTGGATAAGCGCCAATCCCCGCTAGCTTCCAATCCCAGCTACATGCCCAATGCCAAGCCACGTTGCGTGACTGGCCAAATGCGAGTGCTACGCATGCGCGCGCTTACAAACGCAAAGCTCAAGCAAAACGACCAACAAAAACAACAAAAACAACAACAACAGCAACAACAACAACTTTAGCAACAGCGGCAGCAGCAGTAAAAAAAGCAAAATGTGATACAAGAACCAAAACAAAGTGTTCAATGTTTCCGTTTCAAATTCTATGGAACAAGACATTTGTGCACCGCCAGCTCCGCAGACCGGCAGCCCAGCCAGACAAGCGCAACACGCGGCCCAGAGGCCCAAAGGCCTGCGTTAATGTGACCACAACAGATTCTGGCCCAGTCCCAGTCTTAGCCCCAGTCCCAGTCCCAGTTCCAGTCTGAGCCCCAGACGGGCATTGTGAATGGACAACTCGCCGACTTAGCGGACGCGCTAACAATTGTTCTGGCCATTCGTTTTTTGGCCCAAAACAAGTTCGGCATTTTACTTGAAAAGGCCGCCAGAAGTGGCCCAGACAATCTTTGTAGGTGCACAGTGGGCTCGTAATGATAATTAGATGCTAAAAAATATATATAAAGAATGGCAAACAATTTTAAAGTTTCCCAACATACCCATGATAATTTTGCAGCTTGTGCTACGATGTAAAAAATTAAAAAATAGTAATTCAAATTGAAATTTACTTAAACCTCTCTAATATAGACAATAGAGCTTGTATAATTTTTCACAAATTTTGGGTGGAGTGTATTTTGCTATACATTTGCTCTACATTTATTTAGGCATATTAAGATTAAGATCTACATCAGTTTATACAGCTCTTACAACCGATGTCAATTAATCCTAAGGCTGAATTTGAACATAATTACCCAACATTTTAGGCAACTTTCAGACTTTTAAGACAATTCATTTTTCTGGTGGTAGATGAAACATTTGACAGCAATTATTGCAATGCTGACCACCGTGCGGAATTCTGTGCCGCACCGTTTCGCAGTGCCTCGCAGCTGAGCGCGCGATTGTGCCACAGATAAAGGCACTTGCGCATTACAACTGCTCGAGCAGAGCGGCCGCATCCACGTTCACATCCAGCAGCTAACCTGCCGGACAAGACAACTACAACTACAACTAAAACAACAACAATAAGAAGAAGAACAACAACAACTGCAACAACAAGATGAGGAAAAAGTGCAACAGAATTAACAATTCATTTTATTGTTAAATATGCCCGGGCTCAGGCTGGTGCAGGCGGTTCTAAGTACCAAGTGCGCTTTGGGCAGGCTAACAAGGCTTGTCTGCATCTGCATCTGTGCCTCCTGCCACATGCCACATACCCCCAACCGCAATGTTGGCCTGGGTGCAGCCTCAGTCGCTGGGCTCATAGTTAATAATGCGATAATTTCATTTTCATTCAAAGCAAATCGAATGGACTCAAACGCAACGTTGGCTACCGGATTACGAGGCAGCAATCGCTGTGGCAGCGCTGGGCTTGCTGTTGGCGTGTTGCAGCAACATGTTGCAACGTGGCCGCGACTGATGCATGCGCAAAATTTAAATTATGTTGTTTTGTCGCATGTTTTTCGCTTCTCATTGCCTTTTGGCCGCGCTTTGTCGTCGTCGTCGTCGTCGTCGTTCCGTTCGCAACGTTGTTGTTTAAGGGCCTAAAACATTATCAATGAATAAATGAAAATGTCTTTTGTCGAAGGAAAATTGTCGTGCTGTTGTTGCTGCTGCTGTTGTTGCTGCTGACATGCAACTGCAACAACTCTTAACGTCTTCTTTCGGCCAGGCCAGCGGTTTAAGCCGCTGTTTTATGTCACAGTCAACTGTCATTTGTACATTGAAAGCGCGGCTCGTTCCGCAAGCCGCAGAGCGTGGCTCCAAGCATGAGCAGTGGAGAGTGAGGGTAGGTTGGGGCAGCAGGGGGCACTGTTGTGCTGGCGATATGTTCAATTTGCATAAAATCACAGGAAGCACTTAGGATTAATAGGCCGCTCTGTTTGCCAATAAGCAAGTGGCTGCTCGCTCTGTGGTGCGGCCAAGTGGTTAAGCAGTCTCACGTGCTGGCGGGGCATGGGTTAAACATGTGTTGCCGAACCGAATTATCGACGGTAATTTGATCAATTTGCTTACCTTTTGTGATGCTCTTGGTAATCCATAAATTCCGTTCCAGCAGCTAATCCAATTTGCTAGTGATAGATAATCCAAAAATGCAGCTGCAACGAGTCCAAAAACAAATGTGATTTCTTACTATTTGTAGTGTAAATTGGAATTTCCCTAACTAAGAACCGAACCAATAATCTTGCGCATGCACCAAAAAGTTCAAATGTCCCTCTAGCGGCAGCAGGCAGCAACTGTGCAGCTGCCTATCATTTGTGAGTCACATTTTTTTGCTAGCTCTGCTTGTTTCTTATGCGTAATCAGTTCGATGGACTGGAATACAATCTATATATATATATATATATATAAATATAAAACAGTTTGTCCTGACTGACTGGCCGAATGACTGATTGGTGATCAACGCACAGTTCATACAGTCAGAGCTACGAAGCTGAAATTTTCACTGTATTTTTGCATTATGTGATGAAGGTGCCGTTACCATCCCATCGGCTTCAAACTTATTTTCAAATCATGTGAGAATGTTTCACATTTTTTGGAAAATCCATTCTTTAATTTTTCGCATAATCAATAGCTTCCTCGGTGGAAAGTGCTATTTTTTGATGAAGTTGAATAAGCTTATTTTCGATTTAAATAAAAGCTTTTTGAGCAATTTTATTATATACGTACCACGGGCAAGGGTTATACCCGCTAGTGTTAATATGTAACAATTTAATAACAACAATTGATATATGATTTGCCTTATCTTAGGATTTGGGCAAGTTATTTGGTCTTAAGTGACAAATACTTGGAATAAAACTAGTTGCTTTTAACTGAAGCTAGGCTTATATAAATAGTAAAAATAAAATGAAATCCATTTAGGTCTGTTTAAGAAACAGGCCCAGTTCATGCAGGCATTTCTCTTTTGGATATTGTTTTTGTTAACAACTATTTCGCGTACCTCATTCGGGGCTAAAGCATTCACGATCATTTGCAATTAACAGCCCCCAAAAGCGATGGCAATGATTGTGCCTGGCAGCCGGAGGCCATTGTTAGGGCATAAGTTCGAGTTCTGTGTCTAAACCAAGTGCATACATGTGTCACTCGACGGCAGCGGCTGTCGCTTTCATATTCCTCGATACGCGACGCTGTGGCAAGCACTTCGCAGTTTCAAGGCAAAGGAAAACCTTTGAATTTGGCCAGCGATTGCATTGAAATCGCATTATTAACGCCTGCAGACCTCGGGGCTTCACCAAATTGGCAGCAGCTCGGCGACGCGACACGGGTGTGAAAATAATCTGTTTAACGAGGGAGTCTTACAAAAGACCCACAGCCAGTGGCTTTGCCTGCCACATGCAGCAAAGTGGCGAAAGATGCCGCCTGCGGCAGCAGCAGCAGCAGCAGCCACTGGAGCCAGAGCCAACAACAAACGAGCAACAATAATGACATTTGGCGCAAATGAATGAGAAGCGCGCTCAAATTTTCTGCCAGGCAAGCCGCGCGGCTGCCTCTGCCACAAAAGGATATGACAGCAGCCAACCTGACAGTCGCAGTGGCAATGTCCCAGTCGGATATTGGCATTGGCAGCGGGCAGCTTTTGGAGCCACCGGGTCGTGTGGCTGGGCTCCATATGCGAACTGGGCACTGACATTAAAAGGTGGGAAAATGTCAGCAGCTCCCAGGAAACAGTTTTTCGTGTTTCTCTGCCTTTTTTTTTTGGAGGTGGTCTTTAAATGGATATCGAAATAATTGCACAGATAACAACGAATCCGCGAATTGCTGTTGTTTCTTTGCGGCATTGCCACATAGCATGTGGGCGACCACAGATGTTGATACAGATCTTTCACAGTATCACATTTGTAAACTAATCAAAACTAACCTTTGAATCGAACCAATTCCCACAAAACGTATTATTTGAATGAAGATCGGCCGAGCCCAAATATTAGTTGAACCACGTCTATACAAAAAATTGTTTTGTACGATGCACTTAAGCTTTGGACATTAAATAAGGATAATACACCAATATGTATGTATGAATTAAATGTATATTTAGTTCAAAAAGAACCAGAAATTAGAAAACAAGAAAACATATCAAAGCCTGAGCCCAGCTGAAGCTTAAGGCGAGTCATTCAGAGAAAACGTTTCTTGGGCTTGCAGACTATAATAACATGTTGCGATAAGATATATTTAATTTTACTGAATGCTGTATTGTTTACCATATGAAAAAGGTTAATTAATTTAAGAAAATGGTCCCTACTCCTTTCGATTAAATTTTCTTAATATTTATTCATATTTAATGTATACTCAAGCACTAAATCGCAGTCATGCAAAATCAGACTGAGCATGCTTTGGGGCTGGGCCGAGCTCTCCCTCAGAAGTCATTCTTAAAAAAAAAAATCAAACAATTTAAAAAAGAAAAATGTTTCTGTGTGTACAACATATTTTTGGAATCTCGGCTCAAAACCAGTTAGAGGACTTGCTCTAAAGACCGACATGCAAATAAGCTGCTCAAGCATTAAGCATATCCGAAAAAGAAAGTGAATCCATCGCGATCATGAATACTTATCGATGCCCATTAGAAATCCATGCGCGCTCAGCATCAGACATGCTCCAGGGCACGTATTCGGCGAATACGAATACCCTTGGAGTTGGTGGGTTACGGCGGGTTTGGAGGGGTGTCGTTGTGTGGGTGTGTTGTTGGCCACCTAGGCGCAATAGTATCCAAAATCATATGTATATTCGCCAGCTTGTTGAATGCGCGAAAATATTTGCCCTGCTGCGTAATTGAGCGACGGGCTCTGGGAGTCTAATGTCTCGGATAGATTGCTAGCTGAGGGGCTGATGGATTGGCGTTGACAGATTTTGAAGCAGCTCACGCCCAACATCAAAACATCCATAAATATTTTGTCGTTTTCGCTGGCCCCCTGACGAATTTATGGCACCTGAGTCGTAAAAAAAACCGTAAAAAGCTTCAGCGTATTTGCGGTGCAGCGTCGTAAAATTAAAGGCGAAAATAGTTTTTGGGCGCTTAACTCACGCTCTGTGCCCAAAATATCTAATTAATTGGCACTCCAACTTCTGGGTGGCCCCTCAGCGAGTCGCTTTTTGATTTATGCACAACGCGGCTAACTCGCTAATCAGAAGCAGTTTGCATGCGCAGTCGCAGCTCGCAAGTAATTTTTTTCTTTTTTTGCAGTGTATAAAAATAGCGAATCGATCAAGCTAATTTTTCGTTAATATTCGTTATTTTATTTTCATTTCTGATTCGGGTTCGACGAATTGCGATATGCGCGCACAGTTTGGGAGTCGCTGGCGTGACGGCGCGACTGAACGCTAGATGGCGTTTGGTGCACAGCCATCTGGCGGCAGCTAGTAAAGTCTCGTATTATCCTGTGAAAGCTTTACGGTGCCCTGTGAAGCTGAAGGATGTCTCGGCTTAAGAGCTTTTAAGGATATTTTTCTAGGGACACTAAAGCTCAGTTGAAAAAGGATATTAGTATTTAGTTCGGACAATGACCGTTGGTACATCATGGAATCGCTTAACTGTGGCACTTAAGGTACACAAATGTGTACAATGAATGTCCTTTTGGGAAATTGTCTTTCAAAAGTTCTATATGGCATGAACAGGATGAGCACTGAAGTAAGTGAAACGCCCTGTAATACACTTCAAAATATTGTGTCATGTACAATTTTGAATATTGCCATGAATTCAATTTTTTTCCTAAGATTATATTTGTCAATATTCAAAAATTTATAGTGAAGACTGATACAATTTTAATCTAGAGCTTAGAATAGATGTATATTGCGAATTAAGTTCTTGTAAGAGATATATTGTAAATTTTGAAAATGTAGGTATAAACATTAGAGGTAATATGGTTCTCCACACAGTTGATACAAGAACCTCATAGTATGAATGTCCTTGTCCCGATTTCGAAGTTATAACTCGTTTCAACCAACCAAAGGATGGCAAGGCAAATTGAATTTTAAACTTAATAATGACAAAACAATGCCAAAAATCTCAGCATCACGCAACTCAAACAATCGCCGCTTCACTGAATAGCATATCATCTAAACATATCAACATGCAAGCGAATAATTTTCTAGATGCTAAAACGAACAAAATACAAGGGGTTTGCTGTTGTACGGGGACCACACAGAGACATCAACGATAAACTAAAATATAAAAAATAAACACAAGTAATGCCAAATGTATGGAGTGAGACAATGAAAACAGAAACCAGCACAAAATGTAAGGCAATAAAAATGAACTTCCCTTTAATTTTATGGTCGCGCCGACACTTAATAAACAATAATCGTCATCATCATCATCAACAGAGGCAGCCATTGGCAGTGGACGGGCTAGGGGAACCGAGGTGATGAAGGTGGGAAGGGGCAGGGGGGTGGTGGCACTCCGAGTGGCAACCAAGTGCTACGCATCACGAGCCGGTTGCTTCATTTGATTTAGCTATAGCTACAGCTGGACGTCGGAGTCCAAAGAGTTGTCCAACGAGATTTGCATTTTGATGGATTGCAGGCGGGTAGCCGAAAGATGTTTGCCTCGGACACGGAGCTACCTGTAAGTCATTTTAGTGACACTATCTGAAATGACTGTGGGCGTGGGGTAGGGGGTGTGGCAACTCGTGTACTTTTCAGCTGTGACTTGTGTGACTTGAATTTTAAAATTAAGCTCTTGCCTGCGGGTTCTGTTTTGCAGCGCAGTAATTATTTTTGTCATTTTTGCAAAAATAAAAAAATTAAAAAACGTACAAAAAAAAAAAAAAAAAAAAACTAAAAATAAAGTCCAAAAAATATACATATTTGTAGCTTCGCCTTTGGCTGCCAAACTGAGTTATTGTACAAATTAAAATGAACGTTGTGTCGGGCAGGTCGCCGCCGCGGTCACAGCTTTTGTTGTTGCCCCAACCCCTCCCCCTGGGCAAACCCAAAGTCAAACTTAGAGCAGCGGGCATCACACATCACACTTCAAACTTGACTTCAATTTTTTCTAGCTTGTCGGACATGATGTGACTATGAGCTCGAAGCGAACAAAGCCATGCCATGCCATGAATCTCATCGTGTCCAGCCACGGCGTGTGATCGCGATAAGAATTAGCGCTCCATACGCAGCGGCCGAGATGAAAAGCTTTGCTTGTCTGCTCGTTGCCAACGAAATATTGGCTAAACGCTGTGGCTGATACCGAGTCCGGTTGTAACTGTAAGTGATTGCTTTACATGGTCAACACTGTTTACAATGGACATTCACAAGCGCCGTGTGCCAGGGCCAGCCGTGTACTTGACACTTGCAATGGACTCGGACCGATCCGCTTCAAGCTAAGTTGAGGGGATTATCTTGCCGCTCATCTAATCTAAATTCATAAGTCGACGTACAAGACAATGGCGGCAATTCAGCGAATGCCTGCGTGAGTGATTGCCGTTATGCGGCTGGCCCAGACCACAACGTGGACTGGCAACAGCTGACGGATGAGCCATCAAAGTGTGACCATCTTGATTTATGCATCATTTTGTGTGACAGTATGCCGAAGATGTTCGGGGTCTTCATTGACCTTAAGCTTACCCTTGATTATGTAGTGTTTGACAATAATGTAAAAAATAGTTCTCACTATTACACTACCAAAGTTATGGACTCTTAGATATCACGCCAACAAAATGGAAAAATATATATATCAAAATACATTTGAAAGCTTTGAAAATATCAAAACTTGCATAAAAAATCCATTTAGTTATAAGAGCTTCAAGTCAATCAAAATTATGTCTTATTAATCTGAGATATTATAACTTATAATAATGTCTTTTAAAATAATCTGTAAATATAATAGAAATTTCTAACAACAAATTTAAATTCTTTAAGAATTAGAGCTTTAATAGCTTTAATAGACTTATAATAAAACGGTAGTACTTTGTTCAGGACAAGCAAGCAGGACATTATGTATTATCGTAGAACTTGTTCTGATGTCTCTAGAACCGCCTCACCAAATCTTGATATTGATATATCAGACATTTTCTATTTTTCTTTAGCTCAATCCTAATCTTATCTTAAATTCATCTAAGTAAAAAATGTAACAAGCATTTAAAGCTTGAAGCTTTTCATTCGAAATAATCTTAAATTTATTTATAGGCAGCGCTCATCTCGACCATTTTCCGTTTCTACTCAGCTGCAATTGAGACTTGGAATTGCCATAAATTGCATGTGCGACATCTGTGCAAATGTCGACGTGTCTGTGTGTTGCTCTTGGTATGAGTGCCCGCGTGTGTGTGTCTGTGTGTGTGTGTGTGTGTATGTGTGGGCGTGTGTATGTGTGTGTTTGGTATGGTGTAGGTGTTGGAATTGGACTTCAGTTCAAACTGCTGAATGAAGTTAGTTCATTTAACTTCAACTTATGACGCGCCAGAAATTTGCAGACAATGTCTGACAGACTTTCGAAATATGCCACAGTTGAACTCGGGGGCAGCAACAAAGGCAACAACAACAACAACAATGTCGAACAAGTGCATGTGTGTGTGTATGTGTAAATTTGCATGTAATTGTGAGCGCACTTGGTTTGAATTTTGAATGACCTTGGCATAGAGGAAATGGCAAAAAGCATTATTTAAACTTAACAAGCCGACAACTGGGAACCCCTGATACACACATACATACATGCAATATACGAACATACATATGCATGTGCGTGTGTATGTGTGCTGGAGTTATGTACAGGCTAAGGGGTTGCCACAGTTGAATGAGTGAATGAGGCTTGTTTCAAGCTGTTCTGCTCCCAATTTTCCGTACTCAATCAGAACACGGCAGCCCATTAGAGACTCAACGCTCCAGGGGTGTGTGTGTGTGTTTACCTATGTGTATGTGTGTGTCGCCTCTGCGTGTATTTTGCTAATTTACTAGACAGAAATACGCCTTTAACCCACCAAGCTCATTTATTATATAAAACAACAGCAACAACAAGCATAACAACGATGGAGCTGGAGACAAGCTGGAAACTGCTGCACAGGAGTTACGAGTCGTTGCAAGGACCTGGCCACAGCCGCAGGCATCATGCCCGTACCCAGCACACTCGTGCGCACAGCCGTTGTAGTCCTTGGAACTGAACCTGAACCCTTTTCAGCCAGTGACACGTGTGTGTTCTGTGTATCCTGTGCACCGGACTCGAGCGCCGCAGGGCAGCAAAGTGGAAAAATCGTGTTAATTTAAAGGCAGCAAAAACAGAGATTTTTGATGTAGCCATTTATATGAGTTTATAATTACTGAAATTAGTTTTTCCGCTTTTGCGTTGCCTGTATTTCTTTTGCTGCCCCTTTGCTTTGGTCTGAACATAACATCTATGGGTATAAATCAGATATATGGGGGTATATGGGGGTTGACTGCAATATGAATCATATTTTAGGTTGTGTGCTGCAACAGCGACAACTGCTTAGGCATTGGGTGTATGTCTAAGAAGTCGATAAAGAATGTATTCAAACATGTAAAAACTTTAAGAAAATATCGTAAGTGATGAGATTTTACAATGGCCGAGTTTAATAATAATGTAAAGTAGAATAATTTTTTAATTTATTTAAATTTTAAGGAAACACTTTACAAAGTTTCAACTTATTTTGAACTTTCAAATAAAAACCTTATAAAGACAAGTTTGCAAGTTTTTAAACTGAATAGAAATATTAAAAATTACTTTAAGCTGTGAACCGAACGCACGGGTTTGCAGTCCAAAATCCTGCTCTAACTAGTTTAAATTTATTTGTGCTCATCTAAAAACCGTTCCCAATTGAGAATCAAGTTTGCATATAACCAATTATCACGGCGCACCGCTGTTCGTTCTCATTTTGGTTTTACGCAAATTTTATAAAATATTTAAATGCAATTAACAGAGCCGAGGCATTAAAATCGACAGAAGCGACACCAACAATAACAACTACAACAACGACGAAAGGCCAGAAAAAACTTTTGTCAAATCAACTTCCTTCCGTTCTGGTTGCACAAAATGAAAAATTTCATATGAAATTAACCCTGCTGGCTGGATTTTTAGCCCACCCCGTGGCAGCATGTATAAAAAATAACCCCAAAGAGGGGTAGACCAAAGGAGTGTGTAGGGGGTGAGGGATGGTGGCAGGCGTTGGCTTCGGACAGCGCCCGAGGCAGACAATGTGGCAACAAATTTGTATGTAAATGTATGCAAAAGTAATTAATCATAGTCGCACATGCACGCACACACACACACACACACACACACATACGCAACATGAACAGGCAATGCGGACATTACACAGACGAAGTATACACAGGACCCATCTCTAGCTCTCTCTCTCTCTCTTTCTCGCACACTCTACCGCCGGGCCCAAGGTGCGAGTCAACTTGTTTAAAGGTTAACTTCATTTTTATGATATTACGAATGTCGGCATTGGCCTGAAAGCTGGGAATATTATAGATTCTCATAGGCTCCAGCTGATGAATTGGTGGACCATCCAGCTGGCAGGTCCTTTGTGCACGTTGCTGATTGCGGCAGGACTCAAGTGCTCCGAGACACGCACACACGCGAACATACACACACACATATGGGTAGTCAGTCCCATATTGAAATACGATACCGCAGCAAGCGTTGGTAGCCCAAAACCGAAGGAAGACCAAATCCAAATTTGAATCCTTGGCAAAGAGACAACAACACGTGGCCAGGCGGCCATTTGCCCCTGCAGCGGGGTTGCTGACGGCGATAAGGTTGGCGGCCATGATACCAACGCTTAGTGCCGCTCGGTGATAGCGTCCAACAGATGTGGCTAGGTGAGCAACGGCAAGGGGAGGATAAAGCAGAGCACAACAGAGCAGAGCAGGGCAGACAATGGCAACGGCTGCAGCGACGGCAACGGCGGTGGTGGAAAATGAGAAGCAAACGGCGATGCCCTCAACAAGGCAAGGCAGAGAACACACACACACACACATGAGTGTGGTCGGAGAGAGCACATGCGAGTGTTGCAGAGGGGTTACGAGGAGTGATGGGCACAACGGGCAGTGTCGGAGTGTTTCAGCTTTTTGGCTCGCTCATAAATCATCGCTGAGACGACACCATGTTAAATTGGAACTTTTCCCATACATAAATAGAATGAGCGAGAAAAAAAATAATTCTTGTATATAGTATATCTTATATATCTCATATATTGTTATATGACAATGCGTGTATTGTTTTATAACTAGAGCTAGTGGTATTAGTGCAGATTTCGATAATACTTTCAGCTTTTTAATTAACTTGGCTGTGGATCACCATGCAGCATAGTACAATAGTACACATATGAACCAAATATATAACTTTATAATTTGATATTTACAAAAATTAAGAAAATGAAATAAAAAATGTTTTAGCTCTCATCTCTTGTATGTTGTTATATGGAATGTGCAAGTTTGCTTGGGCTTTCGTATCCTTAACGTCAGACCTAACTGGGCTATAGAACATATAAAAAGTTTACAAATTGGAAATCAACCATTTTTACCGTCAGTAATAAACAATACTTAATTAAATTGTAATATAGCTTATTAATGATTCTTTCGGACAAATATATTTGTTCAGTAATTTACAGAATAGGATTCATTTATTTTTACCATAAGTAATAAGAAAGAAAAAATAATTCAAAATGAAATAGTTATTTCAAAAATTATTTATATAAAATTGCTTTCAAAGAATATTTGTATATATATGTGCACCTAAATGGGGCTATATAATCTATAGTAAAATTTCAGGTTGGAAGCCGCTAATCTCTACGCTATTACTCAAAGTAAAGAATACAAGTAAAAATAAATTCTTTAAAAAATAAATATCTATATTATGCTTATTTGTGAAAGAAAATAAGCTATTAAATTGATTATTTGTAGTGCCATTTAGGAACTTTTTCGCCAACTTGCCAACTCAATCTGAATATTTTTCATAATCGCATATTTTTATAATATTTCTCAGTCCTGCTATGTTTATTAATTTATTCTATTAAAATCTCACTGATAATTAAATGTTGTTATTTCATAAATTAGAAACACTGTAAAATTGTTCCATATAAAATTAAAATGTGTGCAACATTTGTATCTAAATGTATCAACAGCTACAAAGTTCATTCAGATACAAATGCATATGCAAATGCAATTGTGTATATACAGGCAGAATGTGTGTATGTGTGCGTAGGCATTCCACACACTCCCATATGTATATACATTGCATATATATATATAGGAACTCTCTTTCGCTATCCCTCTCGCTATCTCTGTCTTTCACGCGCGTGTTCGTGGCCAAAAAGCCATAATTTTCCAATTAAGCGAAAATGAGCGATTTATTTGCCATGAAATCAGTGAGAATCGCCGATAAAAATCTCTTCATTTTGCTTGCCATGGGACCAGGACCCGACTCGCTTGTTGTTGCTGTTTTTCGCTTTGGTTGCAGAAAGTGCAACGCGAAATGTTTGCCGCCGTTGCAATTATTTATTATGCGCATGGCAATGGCCAGCGAGTGTCTGTGGAGGTGTGTCAAGGGGCATGCAGCATGGGGCAACAACAGCAGCTGCTGTGGGTGGATGTCTGTGTGCGCCTGAGTGTGTGCCAAGTGTGGGTGACTGTGTGTGCCACTTAACCCCCAGGCCAAGCGTCCGCATTCGCTGTGTCAACACGAGAGCAGCGACGCGTCGTCTCTGCAGCTGCCTGCCCCAGCAGCGGGAATTCGAATACTGT